GTGGTTTAAGAATTGTTTCCATTAAAGCATGCTGAAACGTGAATAACATCATGGAAGAGAGATGAGGGAGAGTGAAAATTTTACGCTCCTTATATTCCGTTGAGCAAGATCATGTGGAAGAACATGAGAATACAAAGCATCTGAAGGACAAACCTGTATCCCGGAAACAGTAAAATACGGAATCTCAAACCTCACACGGATAGGAGCTTTCCTCTCCAGAGTTGTCTCTTCATCTGTTATACTAGGAAGAGTAAACTCGGCTCTCAACACATACTCCTAGTGCTATGAATTTCAAAGTTATGAGTTCCATGGCTAGACAGAGCTTTTAATAAATCTGTAGTAGGTAGATGATACCTTGCCACCAGGAAAAGATCTTATTTTCCACATTAGTGCATCAATACTAATAAACTCACCAAGTATTTTTGCTTCAGTGTATTGAGGGTAGCCGAAATACATAATCTCATCAAGTAACTCATACTGCCAAAAGAATAACAAATACTATATTAGAAACAATTACAAACCAATACCATATAACAACCAGTGCTGGAACTACTTAACCTGGAAGGAAATGAGTTTGATTTCCACATACCACTACAACAAAGTTATCCCTAAGTGATTCCTCTTCTAGCTCCTCAAAATAATGTTTAAAAACCTGGAAAATAATTCAGATCGACATAAAGAATCAAAGATAATAGACCATCAATAGAAACAGCAAAGGTAAACAACAGAATTCAATTGAAAATTTTGATCATAAAAAAGGCATGAAACTACAATTACGGAATTGCACTTACATCAACTACACGGTGCAGGAAGAAAAGAAGACTGGCGGCATTGCAATTCTGCATCGTGGCGATCAACAAGTAGACATTGCTGTGCTGTATAAACATGTAAGTTACACCATTATCGTACACCACTGGATCTTGCGACTGCGGATCTCCCTGAGAAACCAAATCGAAATGAAACAAAATTCACCAATTAGCTAATCAATTCCATCTTCATTAAAACTAGAAGCTGATTCGAAATGCAAATAGATTCAAAAATGACTAAATCAATTAACACAATAATATACGAGTTATCCTAAACCGAAAAATAATTATTAAGAAATTCTGAGAATCTAAATATACAAAGAATTAAAAGATGAACCTCTTTTTTGATGAGTTTGGTGAAAAAGCGTTCAGCCTGTGCGGCGCTCACGCCACACGAGGACACGGCCCTTTATATCTAGAAGAAATAGAGCCGATGCGGCTCCCGCCATTTCCTTATTCGTTCGGTTATTAATTCGAATCCATAGTATTTTTGCAGATCATACGGGTGAATTTGAAGGATTTTGTCGAATATCTGATTGAATCAGAGCCGGGGATCAATACGAGAGCAAATATCAAAGGAAGGTTAGTGTAAAGTAGGGGGAGCTTGCTGAAGCTGAATCACGATACCATGGGAAATGGGAGAACGGTGAACTTCTTGAGATTTGTCTGCCTTCGTCGTCAAATATTACTTCAGATTTTGCAAAACGGCGCCACTTTTCCCATCTTTTTTACTTTGGTTCTCACGCGCCAATAACCTGTTTTTGTTTACTTTTACCGTTTGCTTTTTATGGAGAGTCAATGCTCTTACTTCGAAAAATGAGGGTCAAATTTCACTCTTTTTTTTTTTTTTACTTTTGCCGTTTTACTAAAAATAATTTAAAATTAATCGATTTAAGTAGTAAGTAACTTAATATCACTTAAACAATATCTCTAGTTTAAATTCTTGTGTATGTAGAAAACTTTTGTCGGGAGACTCACCCACCAAAATCAAGTAGGTGACACGGATCGATCTAGATTAATCGATACAAAACCTTGGAACCAGAAGAACAACAAAAAGTAATAATAATAATTTAAAAATTAACTAACACAATTTTTTAAATGTAAATAATTTATTATCGTTTAATCATGTTAAAAGCTTAAATTTTTATGTATGTAAAAAATTCTTACTCAATAACTCACTTATTAAAATTAGGTGTGCGACATATATCATAACATAATGAATTAATCAAAAGATAATATCCTAAAAAGTGGGGAGGATAAAAAGTTAAATAAAAAATAAGGCTTGTGTGCAAAATTCATGGAGATAGGAAAACAAATCGGTATTCCCTAGAAATAAATTAATTATAACTAAGGTTGTTTATGGACGGTTAAGAGATTTTTCTAATCGTAATCTAACCATTAAGAAATGGTTAACCGTTAACTGTTATTAACGGTTTGATTATAGGTTAACCTATTATAATTTTTTAACAATTTTTTTCATAATTCATACTACAAAAAATGTAGCATTTAACACATACTTACATTGGTGTAACTGAATAAAATAAACAAGTGAAGCATTTAACACATACTACACTGGTGTAAGTGAATAAAATAAAATAAAATAAAAAGTGTAACTCTTAACACATACTTATACCGATGTAAGTAAATAAAATAAAAAAGTGTAACATTTAACACATACTTACACTGGTGTAAGTTTATACATCTCTCAATATCTTAGTACTTAACAATAACATATAATTATATTGGTGTAAATATGTTTCTATATTTTCAAAGAAATAAATAATAAAAAATATATATTAAGTTATTTGTATACAAATTTTATTATATATATATAAATTATAAATAATAGAAACTTATATCAAGTTACTTGTGTAAAAATATATTAAATTAGAAATATAATTATAAATTTATTTTTTTAACGGTTAACCATTAGTTAACCATTTATCAAAATTTGTAATTGTAACCTTAATCGTTAATCATTATTTTTAATGATTCGGTTAACCGAAACCGTTTAATATTAATGGTTCGATTAATTAACCTATTAAATATAACGGTTATACCGATTAACGATTACGGTTAACGGTTTCAGATTTTTTTGAACACCCCTAATTATAACTCAATTAAAAAAATAATATAAAATCTGGTTTAGATAAATATATAAAGTGTTTACGAAAATGTATAATAAAATATTCTAATAATTATATTTATGATTATAATTTTTTATTAAATTGTGAAAATTAAAAATATCTACTTCTTAGATGTTGATACCAATTTTATCTCATATGTTCACTTCTCTATTTTTTAGATGTTAATTTGGTAGTATATTTCAATTGATGTTTATTTATTTATTTTATTGATATAATTCTAATTTGCATTTTTAATTATATTTTTTATATTGATGAGTGTTTACAATCATTGAAATTTAAATAAGTTATATTTTAGTTATGATAAAATCAATTTTTATATGTCGACATGGTTATATCTATTTTTACGTTAGTATTGATGATATTTATATTTTATCGTCCAAAATAATGTTTGTTCATATTTTTTTATATATTTTGAAATATATAATTGAGACTTTGAATTATTTTCTATATGATATTATTGTTATTATTTAGTGATTAATTTAGGTTTTTAGTATTGAAGGACATGGTTGGTTTACTTTAACTTTTATATTTTTTTCTATATTGGTTCTTTTTATTTTCATCATTAGATTATTTTTCTATATTTTATTTATTGATCATTAAAAAATTAACAATAATATTTTTATTTTAATTTTCTCTCTATTGAGACTCCTCGGTAAAGGGTACAACGTTTAGTCACTAAACCAAATTAGGAATTTGTTATAATTCTATCAAATTTGTATTCAATTTTTAGAGATCATACCCAATCATTTAGTTATTGTTTCATTTTAATACCTCAACTTTAAAAATTTAGCGGATGGACTCGCAAGCTGTTGCATCCGTTGGCCGATGAAGACCAAACTTTCAAGCCAACAACTTTTTGACCCTCTGAATGTGATTATTTCATCCGTTTTACTAGAAAATGCCTCAATATCCTCAAATCGATGATAAACTCTTAAAATATAAGTGCATACTTTTATCTTAAAATTCAAGTTAAATTTTAAATCGAATAATTTTAAAAAAAAATCAAATTGATCAAGTAACTAATAAAATATAGAGTAAAATACAAAAATGGTCCTTTTACTGTAGGATGTTGTTTTATTAGGTCCATCTACTATTAAATGTTATAAAATAAAAATGTTACTTTATTAAATCGCTCGACTATTAAAAGTTGTAAAATGATCACCTGACTATAGAATATTATTTTATTAAGAATATTATTTTATTAAGTCATCTGACTATTAAAAGTTATAAAATGGTCATTCGACTATGGAATTTGCTTTGTTGAGTCCTTTGACTATTAAAAGTTACAAAATATTCACCTGACTACTCATTATGTTCTAAACTCGTCATTTTTTGTTAAAAAATTGACGACGGTTTGAGTTGTACGTTAACCTACTGATTGAAATATGATAAAATCTGATCTTATAATATCAAATGATTATCATATCTCAATCAACATGTTAACGCCTAACTTAGATGATCGTTAATTTTTAACAAAAAAGAACGGGTTTGGAATATATTGAATAGTCAAATGATCATTCTGTAACTTTTAATAGTCGATGAACTCAACAAAACAACTCCCTATAGTTAGGTACTATTTTGTAATTTTTAATAGTCAATCGATTCAATAAAGCAATATCCTATAGTTGGGGGCAATTTATATACTTTACCCTTAAAAAATTAACGGTTGTCTAAGCTGGACGTTAACATGATGCCCAAGATATAATAGTCGTTTGAGATTCTAATATCATATTTTATCATAACATAATTAATATATTAATATTCAGCTCATAATATCATCAATTTTTTAACTTTTCAAGTGAACATTTTTGTAACTTTAAATATTTGAATGACTTAACAAAACAACATTCTATAATTGGATGATCATTTTATAACTTTTAATAGTAAAGAGATTTAATAAATTAATATCTTATAGTCAGAGGACCATTTGTGTATTTTATCCTAAAATATATTATACACAAATCAAATCCCTAATTCCACCCGACATTGTCACATTTTTTTCTTTAAATCATTATATAATTGTGTTTGTTTAAAGCCCTTTGCATTCGACTGCAAATTATTTCAGCTTCTCTCTCATTTTCAATAATTCAGGGCCTTCACTTTCTTGCTAACCAAACGCTCTCTATTCCTTTCCATTTCCGCCACTTTCCTCCTGCTTTCCTCTTGATTCTCTCCACAAAAGGAAAAGAAAAGAAAAGAAAGGAAAGGAAAGGAAAGGGAAAGAAAAAAAACCATATTCTTTTATTCCTCCTCTTTTATTCCATTATTCCTTCCTGGATATCTATAATTGTAGCCGAAAAAATCAATCTTTGATCCAAGGAAATGGGGTTTTCAAGGAAGCCAAAGGTGGACGACGGCTTAGAATCCGAAGGCCAAAAATGGGTCTTAGCCATGATCTCCATACGAGCTCCATTGAAGCCTATATACACAAAATCAAGTGACCCTCCGTTGAAGAAAGATAACGATGACGATGAAGAATCATCGACTCCAACCGGAGAAGAAGCCAGGATTCGGACTCTATTCACGTGCCCACCGCCTGCTCCGAGGAAGCCAAAAGCTTCGTTCAAGTGTAATAATAGCTATGGAAGAACAGGTGTTAGAGAGTTCTTCACTCCCCCAGATTTGGAGACTGTGTTTATAAGGGAAAGGGCTACTTAATTTACTTATCTCCTTCCTCCTTAATTCATCTGTTTTAGGGTACTTTGTAGTGATGATCATTTGAAGTTCATGTACATAAATAACATGGAAATCTTTAGCTTCTTTTATCTTTCTTTTGAGTTCCTATATATAGTATAGTTCTTTTCTGGATTCTCTACTGAATCTATCAGCAATCAGAGCCGCAACTTTAATGGAGAAATTCTAAATCATCCCATTTTCAGTATTCAAGATTCATTGTTAGCACAAGTTTTTTTTTGGGAAACAACTGTTCATGTTATGTGTTCATGAGTGGTAGTGGCACATGCAAGTCAACATCTAACTAGGGTTAAATTCTTACTCCAAAAGTTGCCAAAAACACAGTAAAAGTTGGATAAAACTTTGGATAAAACTTGGGATAAGGTTTATTAACGGTAGAGTGATACTAAGTTTGATAATATCCATTTAAAAGTGTTAAAATTATACGAAAATTTTAAATTTTTATAAAGACGATTATCCGGCATCCCCTCGGTCTATCCCGACTTCACTGTGAGACCCTCCGCCCAGCTCCGACTCTGATGGAAGTGGGAAGTTTCCTTGTAATGTGACTTCAATAACTCAAAAAAGAAAGAAGAAAAAGGGTAGTGTGGGGTTTCTTCTACATTTGAATGGGGACCTTATTCAACTCTTCAAAGCCCCTCTAATATTTGACAGTATTGTCACTTTCATATACATTGGGTGTTGATTTACAACAGGGAGAAAATGATGATAATGTTTTATGACATTTTATCTTTTTTTATTTAGACAGTAAAATAAGTAAAAAAAATTAAAGCTACAAATATTTAAGAGAATAAATAAGATTTTGGAGGAGAAAAATGTGAAGTGGACAGCATGGATCCAAATCCAAGCTAGGCATTGTTCAAAAAGTGGACAACAGGACAAGGGGGAGTTCATGTAATCTGAATACATGTCTCGGGATCAGATCCAAGAGGTTGAAGCAATCATGTTCCAACACGTACAGCCAATCAAAACAGTTTTGGATTAGATTATTTACTTAACCAAAGTGTTATTATTGGAGACCACATGGAGACTTGATACCTTGTAATATAATAATAACATTCTTTTATTCATTCGGCAATGGTGGATGATTGTGCCTTGTTGAGTCTGCTTTTCCCACTTGTGCCATGGAAGGAGACAAGGGAGCAATAGGGTAAAACCATGCAAGCATGTATATGGTACCATAAGGATCAATTTACTTAATTAGATGCTTCACATTAAATTATTGCATATTCTTCTTCTCTTACTTATTCTAAAGTAGGGTTTGCTTCAATTATTGAAGAATCTCTATTAAAGTTTTAAACAAACGAGTTGTTATATACCTACCATACACATCAACATGCTTATATAAATATAATCACATATAAGTATGATATATGGATTCCACGAGTTTCGATTTGATTCAATTCTATAAGATTAGATTTAAAATAATATCAAATCGAGTTGAATTGAATCTTATTTTTATTAGGTTTAGGATGAAAAATTATTAATTGAACCATGAAAATAATATAATTATTTCTTACATATTTAGATATACTTACAATAATTTCTCTACGTTTTTTAATTAAATTATTATTTTAACTAATAAAAATAAATTATAGATATAATTGTGTTGGATAGGGTGTAGGTTTTTATCAAAAAAATTGAATCAAATTTTAAAGTTGAAATTTAAAAAATATCATTTCCAGATATTTGAATAGGTTAAAATTCAAACATGGTAAATTAATGAGTTTTATACATATTGCAATACCTAAACACCATATAATCGTCAAGGGTGTTCAAAAAACCTGAAACCGTTAATTGATATAACCGTTATATTTAACAGGTTAATTAATCGAACCGTTAATATTAAACGATTTCGGTTAATCGAACACAAATATAACTTAATATAGTTTTCTATTATTTATAATTTTTATATATTAATAAAATATTATTACACCAATATAATTATGTGTTTATTGTTAAGTACTAAGATATTTGGAGATATCCATAATTACACCGATGTAAGTATGCGTTAAGTGCAATACTTTTTTATTTTATTCATTTACAGTGGTGTAAGTATTGTTAAGTTATATTTTTTGTAGTATGAATTATGAAAAAAGTTAACAAATAATTGTAATAGATTAACATGTAACCGAACCATTAATAATGGTTAATCGTTAGCGATTAACCGTTTCTTAATGGTTAGGTTACGATTAGAAAAATCTCATAATCATTATAGCAATTAACCGACCATTTAGGCTAAACGGTAAGATTAATCGTCCATGAAAAACCCTAATAATCGAAACCCTAGATCAAAGATAATTGTGCTTAAACGCAGTCTACCATACTAATAGACTAAAGGTAAATTACACTATTTCTCAATCAACTATACTATTTCTTCTACTTTATTCATTGTACTTTTAGTTTTACTCACTGAATAGACTAAAGGTAAATTAAATTATTTCTCAATGAACTATACTTTTTCTTCTATTTTATTCATTGTACATTTAGTTTTTACTCACTAAACTTTTGAATTGCTTCTATTTTGATCACTTTGAATTTATTATTATTATTTTTGTATGACAAGCGATTTATTATTATTATTTAATATAAAATAAAAACATAAAGTGATTGGATGTCACTGTCGACCACCGTCGACCGTCTTAGATGGTGGCCGTTTGATAACCCATAAAAGGCTATATTCCGTGCCTTTTTTACTTAGGTTATTGTTCGTTTTCAAGGTTCATTTAGTTGCATTTAGTCTCATTTAGTTGCATTAATCATCCTTGTGGTATAGTTTGCTTGTTGGTATTTAATTATCCTATAAATGATGATATGATAGGAGAAATGTAGTGTTTTGGTGGTGTTTTTTTTCAGGTTAAGGAAAGTTGTTGAGGGACTAAAATTTGTTTCAACATTTCGGATGACATTTTTTAGACCAGACGAGGACAAAAGAAGAAATTTTATTAACTTCACACGTGACCTTCCTTGCTAGTTGTGAATGTACAAGTGAGATAAGAAAGAGAGAAAAGTGACAACAACTTATTCATCTTTTACATTGTAGGAGAAACCTCCATTGTTGGGAGCTTTAAGAGACATCAAGTCGGTTCTCAGAAGAAACTTGCAAGGCTAAGATTAGCTCACAACAGCCCACGGCAACACAAAAGTTTCTTCTACTTTGTGTTGTTTTTTTTCATGGGCTGCTATCAAATGATGATTATGGATGTTTATTTTATGAATTGATTTAGCTTGACTTGGATTTATTGTGGATGATATGTTTGTTTAATGGATTTTAAGCATTTTTCAGTTTATACTTGTTTCGTTCATTGTTATATTCGCTTAGGTTGTAAGAGCCATCGTAAGTTGGTCTTAGCCTAGTTAAATACTTAGTAATCGGAAGAGCTAAGCTTAGATCTATAATCAAATGATGGGTTGAGCTGATAAGCTTGAGTCTAACTTGCCTTAGGAATAAAGAAAGAGTTTTAACGATTACAAGGAATATGACTTAAAAGATAACAACATGCTAGGGTTCTTGCAGGAATGTATTGCTATAGTATTTTATTGTTGGTTTCTTACTAGGAATAATGAAGAAACAACTTAGGGGTTGTTTGTTTACTTCAGAATGATTAAGCGCTGAATGATTAAAATGCTTAATGATTCAGAGGCTCTGAATGGTTTGGCTCTGAATGTGACATGTTGTTTGATAACTGACTCTGAATGATTCAGAATGTACTTTTGTGCTGAATCAGTCAGCACTGAATCATTCAGAGACGCAAAACAAACGCGTTGAATGCTGAACCGTTCAGCATTCAGCGCTGAATGATTCCATTAAGAGGCAAACAAAAAGCCCCTTAGCCTATTCTGTCAAGCAGTATATTGTGATAGTGATTAGACATCTCTTAGGGCAAAACATAGGATTCCATAATAAACCTAGCCTTTTGTTCCACTTAGAACCCAACACGTGTGAGGTCTCGTTGTTTTATCTTACAAATCTCAGTTCTCATTAATCTTTTGCTACAACATTTATTCTACTTCTTTCATATCACTCTTCACTTACAATACTTTTATTTACATTTTTAAGTCTGTTAACTTAATTTTCCTTCAATCTGTGCGGACACGATACTCACTCATCACTTTATTATTTGTTCGACGTGTATGCTTGCACAATTTGTGCATCAAATATAGTACACTCACACAAGCAACACCATTCGTCCCAAAATTCATGGGTCAGTTTGTTTCGACCCCCTTAGTCTGAATCTGGTGGTTGTTTCACCGAAAAATGTCTCAAAACCCGTAAATCTCGACTGAAACGTTTCGACTTCCTCACTTTCAATCTTCATTTCATGGACTTCGGAGCAAGTTCTAACAAAATGGAGATCAGATTCAGACTCAAGGTGTCGAGGCAAAGCGACCCATGAAATTTGAGACCAAACGACTACCGTCTACGATGGTTGACAGTGACCGGCGATGACATCCAACCACATTATGTTTTTATTTTATATTTTCAATTATTTTATATAAAATAATAATAAAATATCATGTTATAAAAAAATAAAAAAATAATTTATAGTGATTTAAACAAGAATAATTCGAAAGTTTAATAAGTAAATTAAAAAATTAAAAGTATAATGAATAAAATATAAGAGATAATATAGGAATGATATAATTTACCCATACTAATGACAATTGCACTTAAGCGCACTTAAACTTATAATGTCTCGAACATTATAATAATGATGTTGTGAACCAAACTAATATTCAAATTAGCTGAAAATCAAATTTTAAAACAAATAAAAAGTATTTTTTTTACTTATTATCCATATAAATAAGATAGTAGTAAATGACGATAGAGGTCCTGACTACCCCAAATCTTTTCGTCTAGTGACACTTTAGATCCCTGTCAGTTCAAATATTTATCAAATTAAGTTTACAAGGGGGACAGCCTGGACTTGAACTGCTGGATTTTGAGACCGACATAAAATTTTATGTTAAGAGGGATGACTGTCCCACTTATCCCCTCGATCCATCCATGGGGTGAACCTGAAGGGTTTGGCAGCTAGCAGCCCAAAGATGACAACGCCGACATTGTTGA